GTATTCGTTATTTAGACCAATTAAGAACTCCATTTGCAAACATATATAACACACACACACACCTACACATGGGCACACTTCCCACACAGCAATATGGTAGCTCTAGAGGAAGGCCACCCAGAGTTGGTCTTTGTCTTTCATATGTGTGTGTAGCGTGCACACTTGCTACACATGAACCAACACCTATGTGAACATGCACACATAACGACACCTACACCCCAAAAAAATCTACTTATTTATATGTACGCGTGCATGCACGGAGGTTTTGTGGACCACGTATGTGCAGGAGTCACCCTACAGAGGCCAGAAGAGGGTGCTAAGATTCCCTGGAACCGAAGTAATGGGCAGTTGTGAGTCACCATTCCAGTGCTGGGAATCAAACACGGGTCCTCTGCCACAGTGGTGAGCTCTTAATCACTGAGCCATCTCTCCGGCTCCCACAAAAGCAATTTGAGAAAAAAGAATCGATTTTGAGAACAATTTTAAGGATGGTGGGAGAGGAGGGGCACTGGCGTCAGCAAGGGTGTCAAGGATGTTGTGCAGCAGGTTAAGGTGTCTGCAGGGCAACTGCGCAACCCGCTGGGGTCAGAGCACGAGACAGACAGACAGACAGACAGACAGACAGACAGGGCGAGGCTTGGATCTAGAACGCTCCCTCTGGAGGCGGTGTCGCTGAGGGACAGTAAGAATGCTCTCAGAGAACTGGTTCCGAAATGTTCAGAGCTGGTACCAGCCCTAAGTAGGTTCTGAAACATAGCATCAATCAACCGAAACTCTAATTCATATAGAAAACTAAGGGACTGACATGAAGCATAGTAATTATACTTACTTTGAGATCAGCAATTGTGGACACATTTAATCCCTTTCCCCTAAATCTGGCTTTATTCCCAGCATCACAAAGACAGCTACAAGGGAGTCTTGGGTAGCTGGGAGGGAAAATAAAGAAAGTAACCCTCTTGTTCTAGCAGACAATGGGCACCCTTTGTCTTATTGGAGGGACTCGCAGGACCCTACGGTGGGATGGGTATGGACTCACTCCTCAGCTCCACAACCCCATAACTGTTTTACTTATTTAGGACCCCGCTAGAAGGCAAATTGCTTGGCAGTTACATACAAATAAAATATACTTGAGCACATGAATGGATAATGAAAACGTAGTACATATACAGACTGGAATTTTATTCCGCCATAAAGAACACAAAATTATGAAATTTGCAGGGGAAATGAGTGCTCAGGAAGACAAACATTGCATACTCGCTCTCCTGTGCAGATCCCAGCCTCTAAAGGTTATGCTAGTGTGTGTGGGGGGCAGTGCGTGAGGGTGTATAAGCTGGGAAACTGCCAAGGGTCCATGAGACGGGGAAGAGGCTCCAGGACAAGCAGGTGAGGAGGGAAGGAGGAAGTCTGGAACCAGGAGGGGTGGGGACAGGGGAAACGGGGTGGGGGGAGGGTAACGGGAAGATGAGGAAGACGATGGAAAGCCATCAACCAAAATGGTCTCCATGAAATCGGTCAGTGAAAATCTGTTACTTCACATCTCAACGAAGACAAGAGGGGGCGGGGCTAAAAGAAACAACTCATCCATTCCGGCCAGTAAAACCCCGCCTCCCATCCCCCGCCTCCCATCCCCCGCCTCCCATCCCCCGCCTCCCATCCCCCCCGTCTCCCCCCGTCTCCCCCCACCTCCCACCCCCACCTCCCACCCCCCACCTCCCACCCCCCACCTCCCACCCCCCACCTCCCACCCCCCACCTCCCACCCCCCACCTCCCACCCCCCATACTCCTGTTAAGAGTTTGGGATGCTTGTCAGTATATCACTACCTGAGGCAGACTGAGTCAGTAGAAATTCCACATACAGAAGCCCAAACCCAGGGCCACAGAGAGTTCAAGGGCCCCACCCTCATTAACTGTTCTGTGGAGACAACAAGCCCTAGAGGGCAAAACATATGTGGCCACCGCTTTCCCCAGAAGTCTGGCGTTGTCTGGGTTTACAAAAGGAGGCTTCCGGTGGGCTAGAATGTACCAAACCTACTGAGGAGCTAAAGGTACCGAGAGTACACACACATCCTTCTGACCCGAGCTCAACCCACAGTGGAAAATTCCCACAGCTGCTAATACACATGTATGTTTTCTTCATTTCCTTCCCCTTTGGAGGAAAACACCTTTAGGTTTTTCAAACAATTCTTTTGTGTGTGTGTGTGTGTGTGTGTTTGTGTATACATATATGAAATATTTTTAACAGATCTTGCCCCCTACTCCCTACAAACTCCTCCCAATTTCACATCCTCTTCTTTTTCTTTATGCCCACAGAGCACAACTGATGAAGTATAAATTCGCACGGATACAGACCCATCCGCTGGAACATGGCCAACCATGTGAAGCCATATCCTTAAAGAAAACCAACTGTCTGTCCCTGGAAACCTTCAGCATCCAATAGCTCTCCACCAGGGGTAGGGCCCTGTGAGCACCTCTGCCATCCCCCTCCGGCGCATCCCCCCCCCTCCGGCGCATCCCCCCCCCTCCGGCGCATCCCCCCTCCGGCGCATCCCCCCCCCCTCCGGCGCATCCCCCCTCCGGCGCATCCCCCCTCCGGCGCATCCCCAACCCCCCCCGCGCATCCCCACCCCCCGGCGCATCCCCCCCGCGCATCCCCACCCCCCCCGCGCATCCCCACCCCCCCGGCGCCCCCTCCAAATGTTCACTGTCTTGATCTTGTTGGCTGCCACAAGGTCTGTGAATTTGCAAAGCCCTTGTCACGTTCACAAGACGCTATTTCAGTTATCACTACACAGCTGAGGACAGCACTAAGTTCCTGTCAGTACTTCTGCCCCGACTCCCTGTGCGATGAGATCACAGGCATACACCTCCACGCTCAGCCTCATGAGGCTTCCTGCTCACCAGGCAAGCACTCTACCAACCAAGGCTGCATCCCAGCGAGGTACAGCCCAGCCCGCCTTGAACTCACGGTCCTCCCTCTTCGTCCTCCTCAGTGTTTGCCCGCTAGCAAGTATTAGCATGGTACACGTGTCGAGTATGAGAGAGAAGACTCCCAAGAGCAAAGGCTTGAGCTGTGGCTAGGCAGAGACACACAGACATTCAACTAACTGGGAGAGCACCAGAAGCTCAGGCAGACGGCCACAAGGTTCTTTCTGTCCACCGAACTCTTGTACACATGGAAGGACACACTTCAGCCCTGGCTAAGCCCCCTCTCTGTGTGTCCCTGGGAGAGAGTAGCTTCCAGATAGGGGCCAAGAAGGTGACTAAGCCTCTGCTCCTCACTATCTACACCTGTCTCCTGGAGACACCTGCTCACTCTTCACTGCATGGGATGAGCGTCACCTAGGATCCAAAGCACACTTTCTTGGTGCTCAGAGCACACCAGCTGAGCATGAGCACAGTTCTCGTGGTCCACGCATCACCACAGCAGAAGTGCCGCTGAGAACCATCAAAACGATCAAAAAAAAAAAAAAACCCAAACAAACAAATGTGTGCCTCCGACAAGGATGCCGTCACCAACTAGGGCCTCCTCTTTTTTTTTTTTCCTGAAACCGCACGACCTCACACTGTGTAGAATTTACCTTTCCAGGCACGCGCAGATGCATCACTTCATCCGACTTCCTGCCGTCCAGAAGAAAGAAGGATGGATACAGCCTCCTCTCCTTTTCCTGTCCTCCATATCTCCAGTCTTGATGCCTAGCTCACGCCGGTACCACCTAGCTCACGCCCGTACCACCCACCACTCTACCCTGTCCCTTCCCGCCACCCCCATCTCAAGCTCGGACACAGCTCGGTTCAGACACCTCCCTCTGTAAGGGCCTCTTGTCACCCCAGGCTCCTGGTGTGTGAACGAGGGTCAGGTGGGATGGGGTAAGAGGCCAAAGGAAAGACTGCCCTTGAACTCTGCCCCTGGGTGTGCACAGAGGACTCGAGAGACCTCGGAACAACGAATGCCTCTCACAGGCCCCACCAAGCAAGCACAAGGCCTCCAACTGAGCAGGGAGGACCCGAGAGAAAGAGCGAAGGAGAGAAGGGAGGGCAGAGGGAGGGAATGCTATCGTCTCCTCAACAAACACAAAGCCACACTACTATCTGGTATATTCAGACAGGATTAGGAGGGGACATGGGTTTTTCCCCCCCTCAGGGAAAATTCACAAGCACTTCCTCTCCCCCGTCAGTCACCTGGAGCTCGCTGTGCGGTGGCAGCTGGGCATGGTGGGGAGGGGGAAGCATTTCAGCGAACAGAGAGTGAAGCGAGGACAGCCCAGCGTGCAAACGGGACTTGTCGGTGGCAGACTGCCCACCCAGAGCAACGTCCTCCACGTGGAGCACTCTAATGGGCTCACGGGAATGTGTTTTTTCTCAGAACTCCCATCTGGGAGAAGCACTGGAAGCTAAAATCTTCTACCCCCAGGGAGACGCAATTGGTGAAAACAGAGTATACTGTACAAACGAGGGTGGTCGTTCCAGGTCCTGGGGGAGAGGATGGTGTAGCTTGCTCTGTGCCCAGTGAGCATCAGGCAATACAGCCAGAGCTCTTCACGAAGGAAATAGTTTTTCAGAGGGAACCTCATTACATACTCAGGATGGTGCAGTTACAACACAGAGCCTTGGTCACCTCCCATCCGTCCGTCCGTCGCCTGCCCCCCCTCCCCGTCCCCGTCCCGTTCCCCCCCCGTCCCCCCGCTTAGGCTTCTTGTGTTCGTTTTCCCATCCAAAATTGGAGCAAATAACCTCGGACCAGGCTCTTTCTTTAAGCCACCATCTGTCTTGCAAATCATGACACAGAAACATACTAGTTTGGGATGCTTGGCTTAGCTTAGGCTCATGTCTGGCTAGCTCTTTTAACTTAAGTTACTCTGTTTCTCTTTATCTACTTTTTTATTTTAAAGCCTTTATCTACAATTCCAATGTAATATTTTTATTTAAATTAGAAACAAGCTTGCTTCACATGTCAATCCCAGCTCCCTCTTTATCTGCTTTTTGTTTTGGGGCTTATTACCTTTTTCCTGTTTATCTTGCTTTCACTTCTCTATGGCTGGCTGGCAGCTGGTTGGCTTCTTTCTCTGGATAGGTCCCTTGTCTCTCCTCCTCCTCCTCTCATTCTTCTGGAGCCTAGAGTTCTCCTCCAATTTATTCTCTCTGCCCAGAAGTCCCGCCCATCCTCTCTCTGCCTAGCTATTGGCCATTCAGCTCTTTATTAGACCAATCAGATACCTTAGGCAGGGCAAGGTGAAACAGATGTAACCCATGTTTACATAATTAAACACACATCCTTACAGCGTTAAACAAATGCAGTTTTAACAAATGTAACACACCTTTACACGGCTGAAGGAATATTCCACAGCATAAAAAAAGTGACACACCTTTACACAGTTAAAGTAATACTTTGCAGCATAAACAATTGTAGCACATCTTTGCCTAGTTAAAATAATATTCCATAACAGTGCCTACCCAAGATGATTACTAAAAAGTTTAAAGGAGTGACTAAATATAAAATAGGCCTTTGGGGTGCTTCCTAGCAACAAGACAGTGCTAATCAGAGGTGGGCTTTTATGAGGCTACTCTGAGCACAATAAGAAAAGCAGTCATGAAGCCTGAGGAGAGACCTCCACGAAGGGCCGACATGCCAGGCAGTCTCTCTCAGAGCTGAAACAGTGTGGAAGTAAATCTGCCTTTTGGAAAGACCAAAAAGAAAGAAGAAAAATAGCCCTTCCTGCAGAGATGAACCGCAGCCGATTCTCACGAAGACTCTTGCATAATTTCAACGACCAAGGCTTTTCAAAGGGCCCCAGGTGACCGCGTGCCACACCAGCCACCCCCCCTTCCCATCTGAAAGACTTTAACTTGGTTCCCAGCTGAAACACGGCAACGTGGCATTGACTATTAAACCACGGGTATGTAAATTGGAGAGCCGCCTTAGCAATCGATCAAAAATGCAGCACCACGATGTAGCTGTAGCTCACCACCACCGCTGCCGCTGCCGCCGCCACCGCCACCGCCACCGCCACCGCCACCACCACCACGCTTCTCTAAGGGAAGAGAGATATCCTTCACCCCATACCCAGAGAAGTCACACCACAGTCCCCTGAGGAAAGGAAGACACGGACGTGCGTGCAGTTGCCCGAGACTCTGGAATTTACAGATGTTAAGCAGCCTTTGGTAGCCTGGGAATTTTCTTCATGCTGAGCTGATACTGTGCCCTGTGATACTTGGTATTTTCATCTGCTCGACAGCATGTGGAATCACCCAGAAGATAAAATCGCTGGGCATGTCTGGGAGGGGTTTACAGAGGACCTGGGATGGGAAGATTTACCCCAACACTGTACTGCACTATCCCACAGGCTGGGGCCCCAGACTAAATAAAAAGGAAATGGCAAGCCGAGCACTGCATTCACGAGTCTGTGCATCCTGGCCGGGAGCAATGTGGCCATGTGCTTGTGTTTTCTACCATGACGGCCTGCACCCTCAAACTACGAGCCAAGATAAACCCAGTATACTGCTTTGTCCGGGAGATGGGGGAAGTCCTTCTGTGTATATGTGTGTCTTATGGGTTGATGAATAAAGCACTGTTGGCCAATAGGGAAGCAAGATAGGTGGGACTAGGAATCGAGGAGGATTCTGGGAAACAGAGGCACAGTCAGTCACCATGTAAGACTCGAGAGGAGTAAGAGGTCCGGACCCTTTCTCCGGTAAGAGAAGACCACATGGAAATACTCAGATAGCAGTTATGGGTTAATGATTAAGTCAGAGCTAGCCAATGAGAAACCATAGCAAACGGCCAAAGGCTGCATAATTAATATAGTGTCCTGCACGTTCAGTTGGGACTGATGTGGCTCAGGGACCAGGCTGGTGGGAAGAATGCACGTTACATGCGGGTATTTTGTCACAGCAGGCAGAAAAGTAATCAGTACGATGCTTGAAAACAAAACTGGGAAGCCCCCTCTCTTTTGACCATGGCAAACAGGTATGTCCCACGTATCCCTGCACATGGAAATAAATGCTGGCGCCTCCAAGCATCCCTGGGGAATACGCACCACCCTCTTGCAGACCAAAGTTACCCTGGCAGAGTGACCCATGCACATTAAATGGCCTTTCACCAGAACACAAGTAGAGTTTAGTCAAGCGTGGGTCCTGTGGTAATAGCGAGTAGTGTCGTCCTAAGGATAGTTGCAATTTCCAAGTAGGACAGTTTGGTTATCGAGTGTGGACTTAATGCTGCGTTGACATTAATTTGAGTTTGCCTGCGCAACTTAAAGCATATTCGTGTGTCACTTACGGCATGTCTCTGCTCCAGCAGGAAGGCGGGAAGATACCCACCGCTTGGCAAGAGTTTACTGCACAAGGGCTGCCATCAGCCAGGGCCGGACAGTTTTTATCACACCAGGTCGGTCCATGTGCTCTTTACAAAGCTCTCTTGTCTTGTCTCAGGCTGGATGTCTCAGGACGACTCAAATTCAGCAGTCCAAACTCCCACCCTATTCCTTCTCCCTCCTGGGCCACAGCAGGCCCTCTGAGTAGCTTGCCATGAGCCCCACCTGAGCATTAAGACTCCTCTATGGAGTAGGTACGTGATCTTGGGCATCTTGGTTTGAGTCTGGTTCCTCAGTTGTAAATTTGACAAGGGGGACACAGAGAATGGCAGGGAGCGCACCATCACAAACGCCCTTTCTTAAATCCATACCTGGTTCCCACAAGAGCTGCTCCTCACGGGACATCTTTTCCTCTTCCTGTCTTTTTCTCCCTTGGGAAACTCGTTCCTTAGCCTCAGGATGATGTCATCTGCTCTACGAATCTAGCCTGAGCCCCCTACCCTCCAGGAGACTCTAAAGCACTTTGTCCGGCCGAGGCAGGTTCCACACATCTGACGGCGATGGCTATCAATTCACCATCATCCCCCAATTCGGCAAGCTACGCCACAGCTTTCCTCTTCTGCTCAGACAGACATCACCAGTCGGCCACGGCACCATTTCCCCCCCAGAACGGAACACAGATTCAGAATCCTCTCAACACGGTCGGTGATGCGGGCAGGAGTGACAACAATCATTTTGCCGGTTAGGGTTGGGCAGGAAATAGCTCAAGGCCAGAAGCCACACCTTAACCCAGCTCACACAACCTGCGACCACAGGCACACACTGTTCCCTGTCTAGGCCTCGGTTTTCCCCTTTACATGTTCACTCTTGTAGCATCTGGTGCTCCCCAAGATGTGACCCCTATGCTGGCCTTACTAACAGAGACAGATCCAAGCACAGCACTGCACAGGGCTTCGTCCCCTCTGCGACCAGGCCCGGGACTTACCGCAGAGCTAGGCTTTTGTACAGGTGCGCTCCCAAGCGGAAACTGGAGACCACACAACTGAAACGGACGTGGGGTGAGGATCTATGATCTCCCTCCTGGGCTGAGAGCAATGGCCACTCGCAGAAGCCCACTGACTGCAGCTACTTGGCACCTGCTGAGGAGAAGTTGGATCTAGGGGATAATTTACCCTTTTAACCTCTACATATTTTGTACAGTACAGACTGGGTGGTCTCTCCCCCTCAGGCAGACGTGGATGTGTGGGCACACACTGCCACGCATCTGCATGAAGCTCCGGCCATCACAGGGGGTCTCCAGCTGTCTGTGGAGCTGGTTGGGCGGAAAACGTGTGGTTTGATAGGAAGCGCTGCTGCCGGAGATGGAGAGAGTGCCTGGGGAAGTTCACAGGATGCACATTTTCTAGAGTAAGGGGAAATCTCCTCTCAGATCTTACACAGGACTGCATAAAGATGGACATTTCTCTGGAGATTGTTTTGTCATTTTATAAGCCAAATACTCAGATTTGTTCAGGATACATTATCATGAAAATACACGCGAAGATGGTTCCCAGAGAAGAATGACAAGCAGCTGTGAGGAAAAGATGACCATCTCTCCTCACTGAGAAAACAAGACTCAGTCAACGACAGGAGGGCAAGGTAGTGCTGGACCTTCAGTGTGTGTGTGTGTGTGTGTGTGTGTGTGTGTGTGTGTGTGTGTGTGTGTGTATGTGTGTGTGTGCATGTGTGTGTAGATGTGTGTATTGTGCACAAGTGTGTGTGCATGTGCGTGTATGTGTATATGTGTGCACGTGTGTATGTGTGCATGTGTGGATGTATATGTGTGTGCATGTGTGTGTGCATGTGCATGCGTGTATATGTGCATTATGTGTGTATGTGTGTGAATGTGCATCGGTGTGTCTGTATATGTCTGTCTGTCTGTGTGTATGTGTGGGTGCATGTGTATGTCTGTATGTATGTGTGTAAGTATGTGTCTGTCTGTATGTATTATGTGTCTGTGTGTATATGACTGTGTGTGTGTGTGTGTGTGTGTGTGCGCGCGCGCGCGCCAACCTTGGTGGATGCTTTGTGTAACTAAACCTTGACAAATTCTAAGAAGGTAACTACTCAACAGCACCCAGGACCCCCTGACAACCTGTCCTCACAACTGAAGACCCTGCCAAAAAGTACGATTTGCCCACCAGAGCCCCTCCACAGGTGAAGGCAGGCCAGCCAAAGCTGTGTGTACACAGCCTGACAGACACCCAGAGAGTCCAGGAGCACACCTGCAGATCTGAGTGTGAGAGTCACGCAGGTGTGTCCACGTTACCCACAGGCCTCCTCCGGCACCGGAAGAGAAAAGCCACCTGCACACTCACGCTTCTCCAATGCCTTAACGCCAATTCCCACATTGATATCAGACAACACCTATTTCTTCCGATTCCTTAGAGTCATCCTTCCCCACACTCGATAGGTAATTTTCCCAAAGCACTAAGTTGGCCCATATTCCTAGCATATTTTGACATTTTCATGTGTTTTATTTTTAGGCAATATTCTGAAAATCAGGTTTTGCTCCTGTTTTGACAAAGCCTTTTTCTCCCTGAGTAAAACAGATGAGCATTCAGCAAGATGGGGCAGCTTTTATCTGCAAAAAAGGAGGAGGAAGAGAAGGAGAAGGAGAAAGAGAAGGAAGACAAGGAGGAGGAGGAGGAGGAGGAGGGAGAGGAGGAGGAAGAGGAGGAGGAGAAGGAGGAGGAAGAAGAGGAAGAGGAGGAGGAGGAGAAGGAGGAGGAAGAGGAGGAGGAGAAGGAGGAGGAAGAAGAGGAAGA